AAAATTAAACCAAATCATGTGAGTGGCGAGTTATAATGTTCTGCAACATGAGTAAATTTACCGAATTTACTAATGAAATCTCAAATAAACCGAATTTTAAATTTTTTACTAATAGCACCGATCACTTCGGTATAACGGGGTTGACTTTGTATCATGCGCCGAAGATGATTCATAAAATCCGGAGTCAAAAAAAATTTCGCCAGCAGCATTTTTTTGTTAGAACGTATTGAATTTTTGCGTTCACACATTGATCTTACGATTTGATTTGTTAAGGAGATATCAGATAATTGCTATCGGTTCGAAATCACATGATCTACCCTTCACTTTTCATTCTCAATAATTAATGTTATAAAAATATAGGGCAATCATTTATTGATCTATCTTAATTCATTCTCGATATAGTAAAAAATTGAGAAATATGTAGCGAACACAATAGATTAAATGACAACTTAAAGATTTAATAGTAATAAAACTGCTAGGACGATAACCTACTTTGTTATATTTTAGAAATGATAACTGTTTTGGTAAGAGATGAGTAGTAACGATAATAACTGTTTTGGTAGTAGTTGATAAAAAACTATGTTAAAAAACTGAGAAACCCATATAATTTATACACAAGCATGATTACGGTAAACATGCAAGGACAAATTTTAAGGAACTATTATATAAAGTTTATGAGAGTTAAGATGCTAAAACGAAGGAAAAAAATATTGATTGTAAAATTCGAGATAAATGTATAAAAGGAAATCGTAAGGGAAGTTAGGTGTAATGAATAGGAAAAAATTATAATTTTTAAAATTTTTTGAATTTTTTTTACGCTTAAGTTTTGATCGATTGATTGATCGATTCGTATGTATCTTATATAATTACATAAAGTACATTGGATAATTTTGTGCAAGTGATGGAAGCACTGGCGGAAGTTCAAAACCGTTCTTTCCTTTAGTTACATGGGTGCGTGCGTGTTTAGCGGACAAGTGTGCATAATATACCGGAGGGGGAATAGAAACTGATCGGGTTGCACGCTGATAGTTATAACAGAGTTTATAAGTGAACGTTTGAAGTGTATCAACATCAAATTTATTTCCATCATGTAATACAATGTAGTGTGCTGGTCGCGATGTTCCTTGAAGACTGGAGTGAGAATATAAATAAAAATCGAAAAGTTGCGGATGCGTAATCTTTTGATCGATAATGGTTCCAGGAACACAATTTCCCTTGTTATCGGTGTTGTTTTTGTCAGTTGCATTTGCACGAACATGGTGTCTTTTACCAACGACGATAAAGGTAATAGGGGGAGCGTAATTTTTTTCGACATCCTTACAAGCATCTTTGATAGCCTTCAATTCGATATCAAGAACCAATTTATATTGACTCTCAGATACACCATCACGATACATGATGATCTTTTTAGGCAAGAACCTATTTCTTGCTCTATATTCCGTTAAAAGTTCTTTGACAGTTTGACGCATTTCCAAAATTTCCTCTTGGGATACATATTTCTTAGCTCCTTCGGAGTCTTTTCCTATCTTTTTTTGTTCGAAGTGTCTATCAATGTATTTACTTCCATGCTGATCAATTGAAGCAACAACTGAACAAATTGATGGGTGGTCATCGCTGTCTTCACCGGTCGGATGTGTAACGTCGGCACCCAAAAGCATGACGGGTTCTTTTGTAAGCTCAGGGATTTCAGCCACGTCGAGAATTGAATTAGTTCCGCCAAGCTTCAAATTCATTTTCAATGCAACATTTGCGCAATAAGAAGGACCTTCCTGGATATTATCAGCGACAATACATTGCGATGGTAGACCCAGCCTCGTACTGGTTGTAGTTTTTATGTCACGGTAGAGGCTCTGGTTCAGTCTACGATCATAAACTGAAGCTGGAAGCCGTTGCCTTTTTTTCCTCTGAACTTCTGGAGGTAGAATAAACAAGATCATTTGTGGTTTATTTGGGAGGAATTTTTTTGAATTATTGTATTCTTTTTCTATTGTTTGCTTGAAATCCCCATTTGGGTTTACGTAGATGATTTCTGGTTCAGTCAATTCTACAGCCATCCCTTGACCACGGCAAGTCTTGACCAACGTAACGACGAAGTTTTCAACATCCAGACGAGATAAGAATCTTTCGTGAACACAGCACAAGACAAACCAATATTTCAATGGAATACCACTTCTGAAGAATTTTCGTCCACGAAGATTCCAAGCTCCATTAATCTTATTCGGGTGAAGTTTTTCACCATCTTTAGAAGACGGATGATAGGCAATTGTTGGAGGATCCAAAATTCGACTGGGAGTTGCTGTCATGCGGGTGTCCATTCTTATTCCGAAATCCTTAAGCTTTGGATCATTAACGAAATCCAGCACACGACCGATACCTTCATCCAAGATTTTTTCCATATTAAGTTTAGGAAGAACTGCGGTGAACGTTATCATCTTTGCTAGTTGGTCGCCATTAAGATTTTTCAGTGAAACACGTTGTCCCTCGACAATTTCACAACATTCAAGTGGCCAAACTTCATCTCTTCTCGTCTGAATTTCCACCATATGAGGGTGTTTGAGTTCTTTATTATATGTAGTTTTGAAATATTCCTTTACATTTGTAGTGTTTTCCGAATCACCAAGCTTAAACGTAAACTCTACCGCTTTTTTTGACGAAATACGCTCAATTGATTGTTTAGTTCTGACGTTTGGCCGATGTAATGGTCTGACTTTCAAATGTTTAAGGACTTTGTTGATTTTTCTCTGTTGTTCGTCGTTAAAGGTTGCGGGCAAAGCAGGAAGCTTGAGAAATTCACACAAGAACGTAACCAAATCTTTTTTCTCGTAAAATACAGCGTGAGCATTATTCACGTTTACATAAAAAGAATCTTTTCCAGGACGAAAACTCTCAAAGAATCCTGCCCATAACTCAAAGCCGCCACCTAACGATCTACGAGTATTCGGATCCAAAATCAAATCTCTGAGTTGGAAATATTTGTAAGAAGGAGAGGTATGCATCAAATGGTTAAGCGCTTTCACGCTTTCCATATTGAAGAACTCCCAACGAAAATCTTTCGCGTTGAATTGATTAAGCTCGCTAAGATCGAGTGGATCTCGGATCTCAATAATTTGCACCATATACTCGCCCGACCTGCCTTTCAAATCCTGTTCATCATCAAGTGACACTGAGCTAGTGAAGAGATTAGTTTTCATATTGATGGGTTTATTTGTGTACAATGT